CTGCCACCTCCTACCCGCGAGCGCCCCTCGGAACCCCGTGCTTGCCTCCCTGCCCCCACTCTACCCCTCAAAAATAAACAAACTTTCCCACGCGGGCGCAGCTCCGCGGCTCGCGTTCCGCTCTCAGGCTGTCCACCTGGATCCGCCGCCAAGCGTCCAGCTCCCCATACCGGCGGCCACGGCAGAGCAGGAGCCCTCGGGGCAGAGGAGGGGCCGCCAGGCCCGCGGTGCGTCCCAAAAGCGCGTGTGCCGCGGTCCTGTTCTTTATCTTCGGGGCAGGAAGAGCCAACTTACCTGGAAGGGTTGGGGGAGAGGGAGATCAGTTGCAGATATTTGAAATGAAGATTTGACGGTACGGAAGTTTTACAATCTAGGACTTTCACCTCGCTGTATTGAACGCAGTTGAGATTACTTTTGCTGAATAGCTCCTTTATATTCAGGGAGGCCTTAGGGCTTACTTGTTTACGGGAAAAACATGTTGGTTATTTAAAGTAAATACACTCAGACAACAGTAAAACTGGTTGAAAAACTATTTACTTAACGCCTTTTTTTCAGGGTAGTAACGGTATTAGAGGTTCTCATACATTTTTGTAGTCTCAAACCTTTTTTAAGAGTTGTGAATATTAAGCATAATTCTATTCCCTTGACTCTGTTATTCATAGTACATGGGTATATGAATAATCGTTTTCACTTATTTGTTTTTCTTTAAGGTCGGTTTCACTTTTCTGTGTCATTGAATCAAGTCTACAGTGTTTGGTTTGTGAAAGTTTAAGGCTAGTCGTTTTGTTGACTTTAATTAAAATCAAGGTTGCCGTCTTAAAGTCTATGTGTTACTAAGATGAAAATGCTACAAGAACGTGGATTACATTGTTATGAAGAAGAGTAACTTCCTTTTCACCTGTGTTGATACTATTACCTCAATGTATGTGGAGTGCCACAATGTTTAAGTAGTGGTATATTCTTTTAAAAAATGAAACAGGATAATGAATTTTAGCATTTGGTAGAAATACCGAGAGAGAAATACCATCCAGCCCTCGTTCATGTACTTGCTGTTTGTTTTTTCTTAAACTTTTTTTTCGCATCCAAATGTTGAGAGAAATGTTAACTTTTCATTGAAGTAGTCCGAAGATTTGTAGCAGTAATACTTAAAAGCTTTTCTGAAAGTAAAGAACATGGACCGGATGAGTCCTAGGTCCTACACAACCACGTTTGGTTTCCAGAAAGGTTATCTCTGTAGCAGGTGGAATTTAGTTTCATATCTGGTGGTTTTAGGATAAAAATTTGTTGGTTGGATATACAAATGAAGATGAATGGATGATTTTGGTCTGCTTCCCCCAAATTTTAATGCTAAATGGTTATTGCTGACTGAGTTGTATGCGTTCCTTAATTTTTTTCATTTAAGAGATTTTCCTCCAAAGAAGACAACTGGAGCAAGTAAACTGGTTTTATTTGGTCATTTGTTAATGATTGTCCTGAAGGGATGTTTATGCTTGGAAAATCAAGGTTTTTGCTATTTAACATTATCATACATAAGGCTAGATTAACCTTTTCTTATTACTCTGGCTTCTTCCTTTTCCTCCCCTTTCTCTTCTTCCTCCTCTTTTGTTTTCTTACTCTTGACTCCACCTGTTTCATAATTTTTGACTATTTCGTGAGGAAAGTGTAAAACTTTGGACAATATGGCTCAAACTTTCTTCCTGANGAGTGAAGGAAGGGGAGAGCAGGGAGAGGAGCTAAGCAAGGATGTGGTCTCAGTGGGGGATGAACGTCCTTCTGATCCCTCTGGAGCCCTGGAGTGTGAACTGCACCACAAGACTGGTCATGGCTTGAGGCAGGGCCTTTCTGGACCAGTGTCTTTGGGGCATTAGTGTAGGCTCTAAGGGAGGCAGGTGTGGTGAACCGTCCCATGAAGCAGCACCCCTTCAGCCAGGAACAGCTGTCAGAAGAGACAGCTGTGAGTTATTAGCAGCAAACACTTATAGCGGCTGGGTGGGGAAAGAGCATCTGGGAAGGGAATTAAGTGTGCTCATTACAGGCTGCTGAAGTGTCTGGAGGTCCTTGGAAAATCTATTTTATCCCTCTTTGACACCTTTTGCTCTTTGTGTTATCACCTGGATGGGGAGGTGGTACTTGGAGTCAGGATACCTCCAGCATAAAGACAGCTTTGGTAAAGGCAACTGGCTAAGTAATCTCTGTAGGTCACACAACTTGTAAGAACACAGGCCAATTAAAATCTCCAAACATCACTGGACTAAGCTCTGATCTGGAGGAAAATGAGTTTCTGGGGCAAGTTTGCTTACTATGTCAGCCAAAGACCCAGCTGTTTGAAGGCAGGGACTTCTAGTATCCTTTGTAATTTTTCCATTTATGTTGTCAGTTTCCTATATAGTAAGTGGCACTGTCATTCTTTAGAGGAAAAGGCTCTCTGTTTGCATTTAAGACAGGGAAGAAGGTGGAAGGGGTTGTGCAATCCCTGTCCCCTCGCCACCCCAAGAGCCTGTTCTAGGTAGAGAATGATAAGGGATGGTTTTTAAACATATCTTCTTTTCCACCCAAGTTGCTTAGGTACTGTATTAAGAGGCTGACTGCAGGAGCAGCTTGTCAATACAATGCAAAATGGACAGTGAAATTAGAAGCCGAAATTCTAATGTGACTTCCAAGAGAAGCATTTTGAAATACCACAAAGCTTGGGTGAATATTAAGGATTTGGTTCTTTAATTCTTTCTCATTCTGTATTTAATCACCTGAAAGTCATTTGGAAAAGGCAAGGAAATATACTGAGTTCATCCCTATGGCTGTTATGATCTTGTACAACTCTTAATAGTGTTGCTACAGAGATGAAATTCCATAACCAGTCTTCAGCAGGCAGTAAATTTTGGTGTTAATCCTGAAAGGGGCATTGATCATTTTGAGGTTCGGCATTTACCTTTTCCCTTTTGTTTCCTCAAAGTACTGCAGTGTTCTGCTCCAAACTCACAACTGATATTGCTTTTAATCAGTGATTTCTTTTAATAACAATAGTGAAGTAAGTATTGCCATAAATGATATATGTCATCTACAGGGGAAGTACTATTCAGATGGGGTAGTTAAGGGCCTCATAGCAGGAGAGCAGGGCAGGATTTCTATAAGCAGATGTAGGAGTGGGGTGCAGGTTGAAAGGGAGTGAAGAAACTAGAAGGGGAATAGAAGAAAGGAGACTTGCAGGAATGGGAGTGACGAGAGAAGAGTTGCCTCGGGGAGGGTCAGGATCACAGCCCCTGGATGGATCGGGTGGGTGTGACCTGGTGTAAGGGTTAGCCATAGTGAGGGGGGGGGAAAGAGACATGGGGAAGGCTCAAGTTAGTGTAGGAGAGTTCCTTGACCTTAAATCAGAGAACTCAGCAGGGAGGTGCAGGGCGGTGGTTGGGAGATGCAAAGATGAATGAACTATTCTGTCGGACCTCGCAATGTAGGCAGCCAGCTAGTGGTTGGAAGTATGGATCCGCACTCGGGAGCAAGAGCTGGTCTAGTTCCCCGCAAGGATTGGGAAATGCTCGGATCTGAGATGAGATCGCGACTGGATGGGTGCCCTTTCCCGGAGCAGGGTTTAAATTTCTCCGCTTTCGGAAATACAGGCGGTGAAGTCTGATGGCGGGACGCAGGTTCGGCGTCCTTAATCGCCGGGTCTCTAGGCCGAGGTCGAGCAACGCAGCGCCATTCCCCGACCCGGGTCCGACGTAGGGCCCAGGAGTCTCGCGTGTGCAGCGCGGGACGTGAAGGGGTGGCCTCGGCCCTCCGCCGCCCGCGTTGGGGAAGGACTCTCTGGGCCGCGCGGGCGGCTCGGCGCTGCCAATCAGCGCTCCCTGTTCACGGCGCCCCGGCGCTCCAGTGACGCGCGCCCAGTCTGCGCCGGCGGCGCTTTGGCGACGGCACCTCCCGCGCTCTTTCGGCCCGTTAGCTGCGCACCGCCCCACTAGTGCGAAGGCCCCTGGGCGGTGGCGCGAGCGGGCGCGGGCCTGGCGCGCCCCCTGGCGGCCCGGCGGGTCGCTGCGGGCGCGGTGCTGACCCGGAGGCGGCGGCGGCGGTGCCCGGATGGAGGCACGTCATTGTCCCCCGCCGGGCGGCTGGGTTGTGTGCGGCGGCGGCGGCAGCGGCGGCGGCGGCCGAGGGGGATGGAGCGAGCTCCGACCCGGGTCAGGTAAGCTCCCGCCTCCTTCCCGCCCGCTGCTGCCCGGCGTGGGGCTCGCGCAGCACCCCGCGCGCCTCGGCTGCAGCTGCCCCGGTCGCCCCTTAGCCGGCGCGGCCCGCCGTGGTCTGGCGCGGCCCCTCGCCCTCCGCCCCCTTCGCAGCCGCGGGCCGCCGGGGACCCCGCCGCGCCGGTGCCAGCACCGCCAGCACCAGCCCGGCCAGGCCGCTGGGGAGGGGGCGGCGGCCGGGCGCGCGGAAAGCTGGGCTGCGCGGGGAGGCCGGACCCCCCTGGTTGCCATGGACACTGCCCTCCACCCCCACTCGGCCCAGCTCACCCCCTCGGCCCGTGGGCCGGGCGGCCACGGGGCGGCCTGGCTGGCACGGGTCTACCCGGGTGGGCGTGTGCCGGCCTCGGAGCCGGGCGTCCCCGGCGCGCCAGCCGTTCCCCGCGAGGCTGCCACCTCCTACCCGCGAGCGCCCCTCGGAACCCCGTGCTTGCCTCCCTGCCCCCACTCTACCCCTCAAAAATAAACAAACTTTCCCACGCGGGCGCAGCTCCGCGGCTCGCGTTCCGCTCTCAGGCTGTCCACCTGGATCCGCCGCCAAGCGTCCAGCTCCCCATACCGGCGGCCACGGCAGAGCAGGAGCCCTCGGGGCAGAGGAGGGGCCGCCAGGCCCGCGGTGCGTCCCAAAAGCGCGTGTGCCGCGGTCCTGTTCTTTATCTTCGGGGCAGGAAGAGCCAACTTACCTGGAAGGGTTGGGGGAGAGGGAGATCAGTTGCAGATATTTGAAATGAAGATTTGACGGTACGGAAGTTTTACAATCTAGGACTTTCACCTCGCTGTATTGAACGCAGTTGAGATTACTTTTGCTGAATAGCTCCTTTATATTCAGGGAGGCCTTAGGGCTTACTTGTTTACGGGAAAAACATGTTGGTTATTTAAAGTAAATACACTCAGACAACAGTAAAACTGGTTGAAAAACTATTTACTTAACGCCTTTTTTTCAGGGTAGTAACGGTATTAGAGGTTCTCATACATTTTTGTAGTCTCAAACCTTTTTTAAGAGTTGTGAATATTAAGCATAATTCTATTCCCTTGACTCTGTTATTCATAGTACATGGGTATATGAATAATCGTTTTCACTTATTTGTTTTTCTTTAAGGTCGGTTTCACTTTTCTGTGTCATTGAATCAAGTCTACAGTGTTTGGTTTGTGAAAGTTTAAGGCTAGTCGTTTTGTTGACTTTAATTAAAATCAAGGTTGCCGTCTTAAAGTCTATGTGTTACTAAGATGAAAATGCTACAAGAACGTGGATTACATTGTTATGAAGAAGAGTAACTTCCTTTTCACCTGTGTTGATACTATTACCTCAATGTATGTGGAGTGCCACAATGTTTAAGTAGTGGTATATTCTTTTAAAAAATGAAACAGGATAATGAATTTTAGCATTTGGTAGAAATACCGAGAGAGAAATACCATCCAGCCCTCGTTCATGTACTTGCTGTTTGTTTTTTCTTAAACTTTTTTTTCGCATCCAAATGTTGAGAGAAATGTTAACTTTTCATTGAAGTAGTCCGAAGATTTGTAGCAGTAATACTTAAAAGCTTTTCTGAAAGTAAAGAACATGGACCGGATGAGTCCTAGGTCCTACACAACCACGTTTGGTTTCCAGAAAGGTTATCTCTGTAGCAGGTGGAATTTAGTTTCATATCTGGTGGTTTTAGGATAAAAATTTGTTGGTTGGATATACAAATGAAGATGAATGGATGATTTTGGTCTGCTTCCCCCAAATTTTAATGCTAAATGGTTATTGCTGACTGAGTTGTATGCGTTCCTTAATTTTTTTCATTTAAGAGATTTTCCTCCAAAGAAGACAACTGGAGCAAGTAAACTGGTTTTATTTGGTCATTTGTTAATGATTGTCCTGAAGGGATGTTTATGCTTGGAAAATCAAGGTTTTTGCTATTTAACATTATCATACATAAGGCTAGATTAACCTTTTCTTATTACTCTGGCTTCTTCCTTTTCCTCCCCTTTCTCTTCTTCCTCCTCTTTTGTTTTCTTACTCTTGACTCCACCTGTTTCATAATTTTTGACTATTTCGTGAGGAAAGTGTAAAACTTTGGACAATATGGCTCAAACTTTCTTCCTGATTGAAGGTCCTATACCTTAGGTTGATTTAAAATTTCAGTTTTTCTTATTTTATTAAGATCTAATTAACATCTACTTTCCTATTTCTGCACAAGATTCAAAAAAATTGCTTGAGGTTGTACTTTCTTGGGGTGATAACCATGCCTTAGTTTAAAATTACAACAGAATTGAAGCTTCTTAAAAAAAATCACAAGCAGACAGTGCATGCTAACATTTTGTTGAGGTGGCATGTATATGGGTATTTTATTGTCCTTTTACTTTATTAAATATTAAAAAAATTTTTAAAGGCTGTTGCTACTTCAGAGTGTTTTAAGGATTAAATAAGATACTGTATATAAATCACTCAGCACAAACTGGTGCTAAAAGCAAACACTAGTTACTTTCCTGTTTGCAGAATTTATTCATTTGTTCAACACATGTATGGAAAGCTTTCTGTATGCAAGGTCAGGGGATATAAATAAGAACATGATGGAGTGCAACAAGGAAAACTGCTGTGGAATAGGTGCTGAAGTGCCATCAGAGAGTCAGCACAAGACTCTGACCCAGTCTTGGAGAGGCGGATTTTTGAGGAATGTGTCCCAGAGGAAATGAATTCTAAACTGAGAAATGGAAGTGTTAACTGGCCAGAGGCAGAAGGATGGGAGAAAAAGAGCAGCATGTGCAGAGCCCAGAGAGAGCAGGTGGGAATGGAACATGGAGAGTCTGTGGAGAGGTTCCTCGGCCAGGCAGTGCCAAGTCTAGGTGGTCAGGAGCCACTGGGGCATGTCTGAAAGGTTTTCTACAGATCAGGGACACATTAGATTTGGTTGCCACTGGGCAGTTTTGGAAACATTTCTAGAAGTACTCTGTTGACTAGGTTGGAATAGCCAAAAGGGACCCTACCTGATAATGTTGGACCTGATGCCTTGTCCCAGTTGCTAATGAGTTTGGGGTATAGTTGCTCCATTTCATAGACGCTGTGGATACTGTCCAATCTCTGATAGGTCCATTATGAAAAGTCAGTTAATGTGTGTTCAGTGATTAACACAAAGCCCAGCACATAGAAAATGCTCCATTAGTAGTAGCCCTAAGTTTTAAAAATAGGATCCAAAGAGAAAATTACAAGGTACTTTTATAATGTATGTTTGTATTCAAGTTTGATGTCAGTAATGTCTTACGGGTTTCATTTTAAGAAGCCCTATATACCAAGTAGCCCTCTTCAGAAAAATGTATTTCAGAAATGAGACTTCCTATATTTTTTAAAAATGTATTTCATGTAATGTCATTCTGGGCTCAAAATTAAAGCAAGATTTTTGTCTTTATATATTTGAGACTTTTCCCTGAAGAATTATATATGAATTGAAAGTTGAGTTAAATGTACTAGTGCATATCATGTTCTAGTTTAAAGCAATAGAGAAAATATAGATACTTTGTAAATGCATAGAACTGGAAATTGAGGTACCTAATTATAAACTGAAACAAGAGTTTGGTCTGGAATGGAATGACAAGATCTAATTGACTACTTCATTGAGGTTTTCATAATTATGAAACATTGTTTAGACAATGCTAAAATGTCTCAAGGAATTGATTACAAAATTTAAAAATCCTGTTACTTTTATATTTGGATGTGATGTGTTTGAAAGTAATTAAAAATGTCTAGGATAATTTTCCTAGTCCTAATGGTAGAGTAAGTAGGTTACTTTCCTCACCTTATGAAACAAATGTATGCTTTTCATCTTTTGCAGAGTTGAACAATGACCGTAATTGACAAAACTTCTGAATCTTCAGACCCATCAACCTATCAGGATCATCAGCCTGGCAGTTCTGAGTCCGTCTCACCTGGAGACATGGATACAGGTTCTGCTAGCTGGGGTGCTGGTGCTGTTGCTTCATTAAATGATGTTTCAAATCACACACTTTCTTTAGGACCAGTACCTGGTGCTGTGGTTTATTCAAGTTCATCTATACCTGATAAATCAAAACCATCACCTCAGAAGGATCAAGGTACTACTTTTTAAAAGACAGAATCACTTCCAGAAACTCCTGTATAAATGCTCTCAATGGATTGGTAATTTCAGAGAGGGGCTTATTTTGCAAGATACATTGCCACCCAGGTGGCCAGCAGAGTTACATTATTTGACAGCTTCCATTTCCCTCTGCTATTTGTTCATGATTAACATGTATCATAACAGGGTATAGATTATTTTTAGTTACTATGATATTTGTAGGTTCTTTTATTCCTAATTTTTTGAAGGATAAACTTTATCTTGGTGGGAATTGAGGTAGACAAGCATTTCATTAACTTGTCAGTTAACTATAGTTCCCTAAGTCTGTCTTTTAAAATTTTGAAGATGTTTTAAAAAATGGTTGCCTTTTGACAAATGGGATCTGCTTAGCTGTTTTTCTTTTCCTTGTTTTCTTTTTTGCCATTTAAAATTATCTGTAGTAATAAAGCTCTTTGAAAGAGCAGGTAATGTAGCTGTTACATTTGTTAAAACTATATAAATGGTTACATTTGTTAAAACTCATCCAGCTGAATAAAACATTAACACTTTAGTTGATTCTTCTAAGATTTTTGGATTTGGAACCTTTGAAACACAAAGAAAATGATTAGTCCTCAAAATATTGTTTGGCTTAGAATAATTTGGCCTTTATATTTTTGGAGTTACCTTAGTAAATGTGATGTGATGTGGGGGTCAGTGGCATGATTTGCTGACGGTGTTTGGGTGAAATTTATATTACATAAAACAGTTTAACTGAATGCTATACACTTACTACCTTCACCAGCAAGACTTGCCCACAGGATGCCTGTGTGCCCCCAAGTTGCTGGGACTCCTCTCCCCCTCAGGACTTAGCCCTTATTCCATTCTCTACAGACTCATTCTTCTTTTCCTTATATTGCTCTCCATTTCTCACCAAACTGAGGCCTACCTGAGCATACTTACACCCTCATTATAATATCTCTGTTAAACTAGAGAACCACCTATTGGGCATCTCAATCCCATTGCACCGAGGAACTGGCAAACTTCTGAAAAAGTAGTCTTGGCTGTGGCAAATTTTGAACTTTCCTAAATAAGTTGTTTTTTGAGTTTCACCTGGGTTCTGTTAGCATAGTTGTCATTAGTAATCTGCTTATAAGTCTTAAAAACAGGTAAAAATATTTTTTAGACCATATATAGTATATTTACAAGTGTGTAGAGTGGTGCCCAACAGCCTGAGTTCAGAGCCTGTTTCCTTACTGGTAAAACGTGGGTGGCATCACTACCAACTGTTAGAATTGAGACTATCTCGACAGCTGGGAAGGACTCATTAGGTGAGATGATGGTGAAGGTGAAGGTGTTGGTGGTCATACTGAATATGAGCATCCATAGCAAATGTTACAGAGAATTGAATTGAATCCTGCACTTTATATATTGTGGTGTTGTGTGTTCTAAAAACTTTTTATCATGAAAAATTTTAAGTAGCTGTAAAATAGTTATAGTGAACTCTTACACTTATCAGTCAACTGTGACATTTATCAACTCATGGCCAGTTATACCCCTACCCACTTTAAACCCCCTCCCCATCATTTTAAAGCAAATCCAAGACTTCATATTTCATCTAATATTTCAGTGTGTATATCTAATTTCTTTTCTAAAAATTAGAGCATTTTTATATTAAAAGTCTGTGAATGTTCACATTTCCCTGGTTGTCATATATACTTTTTAAAAACAGTTGGCTGTTGAAATTAACATCCAAACAAAGGTCTACACTGCATTTGGTACATGTCTGTATTTCCTTTTACCTTTTAACCATCTCTCTCTCTTTTTATCTTTGCAATTTATTTATTGAAAAAGCCAAATCATTTTGCCCCCATTCTGGGTTCTGTCTTTTGAATGTCCCTTTTGTCCCCTGTCTTTCTGGTTAGCTGGTAGTAAGATTTAGAATCTTGATCAGATTCAGGTTTGATGTGCTGCTATTCATTTAGCCTCAGAAGTATGCAAAACTTTGTTTTTAAATATTTATTTTTCTAGCTCTAGGTGATGGCATTACTCCTCCACAAAAAGTTCTTTTCCCATCTGAGAAGATTTGTCTTAAGTGGCAACAAATTCACAGAGTTGGAGCCGGGCTCCAGAATCTGGGCAATACCTGTTTTGCCAATGCAGCACTGCAGTGTTTAACGTACACGCCACCTCTCGCCAATTACATGCTCTCACATGAACACTCCAAGACATGTAAGTGTTCTGTGTTACGTTACCTGGGTAGTATTGTGATGTGCTAACCTGCTTTCATTTTTTTCTGAAATGAAAGTGAAGAATTAAGCCGGTAATAAGTTAGTTTATTCTTTTCAAAACCATGGAGAAAGACTTTTAAGATTTATATTTAGGTTGCATAAAAAACAATTTGCACCTAATTTGATCTGTGAATTTACTTAAAAAGAAACACATTTTACCAGCATTTGGCATTTCTGAACTGCCTGCTGGTTTTCTACACTTGCTAAAAATTGTGACATGTCTGTCACCAACAGCTAGGGACAAGTAGGGGTAAGAAATCCTGCCTCATCTAGCATCCATCCTGTGTTGTAAGGCTTGATTCATTTACAGGCTTATAAGCCCTAGTAGAGAGGAACCTCTTACTACTGCCCCCAATCTCCTGGAAATTCATGCAGGACTTTCCCTTTAACATGTGAGAGCTCAGTTTTCAACCTAAAGGGCAGGAAATCAGTGAAAATATGTCTTTAATTAGGTGAAAGCCAACTCAGTGGTTGACTGTAGAAATTCAGAATTTAGAACATACCCGGTTTTTGAGGTTTTGACCTTCGTATTGTAAATATCATTCATCCTTTATAGATGATCTCCCTGTTCTTGGATCTACATTAATGCTCAGATTTGAGTGTGTGTGTTCAGGTGCTGTTCATTAATTATCAGGGTGAACAAAAACCCCTTGGTTTCTTTTTAAATAGTTCTTAATGGAGAATTTAAACTGGTTCTTTTAGAACTTTTTTTCCCCGCAGAGTGAAATGTAATGCTTATAAAGAATTTGGAAAGTACAAAAAAATTTAAAGAAACTGAAGGAAAATCACTTAGAATTTCTCTGCCTAGAAATGTTTAGTATGCCAAAGGGTTTTAAATTACAGAATGGACATTCAGTTTTGCCCTTATTTTCTCCCTAAGTTCATAATTCATTCCCCACAGACAGCTTTCCTGTCACTTTTGCTCTTAGTGAAAGTAGGGTGTAGGTGAAAATCCAGCACTGGCACCTGAACAGCTACCAGAGGACCAAGACAAAAATTGAGAAGCTCTTTGTGTCCAGAATTAGGTGCCTATCCTTTATGCTCTTGTCAGTTTTCTCTCTCTCTATTTTCCCAGCTTTCTTGAGGTATAATTGATATATGGTAAATTGCACATATTTAAAATCCACACTTTGATGCATTTTAATATTTGTATACACCCCTGAAACTATCAGTACAATTAAGATAATATATTCATCTCTCCTAAAGTTTCCCAGTGTTCCTTTGAAGTCACTCCTTTCCATCTCTTCCTGCCCCTCATCCCCTTCACCCCCAGCAACCACTGATATACTTCTGTCTGCTGTAGATTAGTTTATATTTTCTAGAATGTGGAATTTTTTTCAAAGAAGTGGAATTATTCAGTATGCTTATACTGCCTGGCTTCTTTCAGCATAATTATTCCAACATTATTCCATGTTGCATGTAGCAATAGTTAATTTTTTTTAAATTAAGGTATCATTGATAAACACTCTTACAAAGGTTTCACATGAAAGACATTCTGGTTACTACATTCACCCATATTATCAAGTCCCCCCCACACCCCATTGCAGTCACTGTCCATCAGCATAGTAAAGTGCCACAGAGTCACTACTTCTCTGTGCTACACTGTCTTCCCCGTGAGCCCCCTACACACACCATGTGTGCCAATCATAAGACCCCTCAATCCTCTTCTCCATCCCTCCCCTTTGGTAACTGCTAGTCCCTGCAATAGTTAATTTTTATTGCTGAGGAGGAGTAGTCTGTTAATGTGGATGTACCACAATTTTTATCTCCATTCACTCATTGATGAACATTGGTGTTTCCCATATTGGGCCTTCACAGATAAGCTGCTGTGAGCATTTGTAAACAAACCTTTGTAAGGACATGTTTTCATTTCTCTTGGGTAAATATCTAGGAGTCTAATGGCATAGTTGCATAGTATGTGTGTGCTGAACTTTAAGATTCTTCCGAACTGTTTACCAAAGGAATTGCAGTATTTTATATTCCCACCAACAGTGAATGAAAGTTCCATTTGCTCCATAGCTCCCCTAATAATTGGTGTGGTCAATCTTTCCAATTTCAGCCATTCTAATAGGTATGTAGTATACTAGTACCTCACTGCAGTTTTAATCTGCACTTGCCTAATGAATGATGATGTTGAACATCTTTCCATATGGTTGTCTGCCAAATGTTTGTTTTCTGAAATGCACCCTTCATATTTTTTGCCCAACTTAAAATGGGGTAGTTTTCCTTTTGTTGAGTTTCGAGACTTCTTTATATATTCTGGATAAAAGTCCTTTATAAGATATGTAATTTGCAAATATTATCTCCCAGTGTGGAGAAAATACTCTCTTCGCATGGTCTTTTAAAAAGCACATTTTTAGTTATGAAGAATTCCACTTCATTATTTATTTATTTTTATTAGTTGTGCTTTAGGTGTTGTATTAAGACATTTTTGCCTAACCAGAGGTCACAAAGATTTTCTTTTTATTTTCTCCTAGAAATTTTATAGTTTTAGCTTTTATATTTAGATCAGTGGTCCCTTTTGAGTTAATTTTTGTTGTGATGTGAAGAATGGATTGCAGCTAATGTTTTTCAAGCAGATACCCAGTTGCTCCAGCACTGTTGTTCAGAGGATAGTCCTTTTGCCACTGAATTGTCTTTGCATCTTTGTCAAAAATTAATTGACCATATATCATATATATACGGGTGAATTTCTGGACACACTGTTGTTACACTGATCCACGTCTAGCTTGACACCATATAATATACTGTCTTGATTACTATATGATTAAAAGTTTTGAAATTAGGTAAGTCCTCCAACTTTGTTCTCTTTTTTCAAAGTTGTATTGGCCATTCTTGGTCCTTTGCATTTCCAAATGAATTTTAGACTCAGTCTCTACAAAAGAGCTTCCTGGGATTTTGATTGGGATTGTGTTGAGTCTGTAAGTAAAGTTGGGATGAACTGACACCTCAACAGTATTCTGACCCACACGCAGGGTACACCTCTCCATTTATTTAGGTCATCTTTTAATTTTTCTTAGTAATGTTGCATAGTTTCAAGGTACAGATACGATGTGCACATTTTAAAATCAGATATAAAAGTTTCTTATTTCTGAAAGCTATTATAAATGGTAATATTTTTGAAATTTCAATTTCTGATTGTTTATTGTTAGAATATAGAAATACAGTCAGGTTTTGGATATTGATCTTGTATCCTGCAACCTTGCTAAACTCACTTATTAATTCTAGTAGTGTTTTTTAAAAAAAAATTTCTCAAGATTGTATGTAAAGACAGTCCTGTTGTTTGTGAATAAGGAAAATTTTACTTCTTCATCTCCAGTCTGCATGCTGTTTGTTTCTTTTACTTGCTGTAATGCACTGGCCAGGACCCCCATTGCACTGTTGAAAAAATACAGTGAGACTAGACATCTGTGTCTCTTTCTTGACCTTAGAGGAAAAGCATTTAGTCTTTCACCCTTAAGTATGATGTTAGCTGTAGGTTTTTTGTAGCTGTCTTTTACCATGTTGAGTGAAGCCAAACTTGTCTTCCTGAGATGGAGCCCCACTTGGTCATATATCATTTCCATGTATCATTGGATTTGCTAAAACTTTGAAAATTTCACAATCATTATAATGCTTTTGTCTGGTTTTGGCATCAAGGTGATGGTGGCCATCTTGAAATATGTTGGGATGTATTTTCTTCTCTTCTATTTCCTGCAAGACTTGTGTAGAATTGGTGTTATTTCTTCCTTAAATATTTGGTAGATTTCATCAGTGAAGCCATCTGGACCTTTGGAGTTTTCTCCTGGGTAGGTTTTTAACTACATGTTCAATATACTTAGTATATAGGCCTATTCAGATTATCTATTTTTTCATTAGAGAGCTTTGGTAGTTTGTCTTTCAAGGAGTGTGTCTTAGTTGTTAAATGTATTCACATAAAACTTCATAATGTTTTCTTATCCTTTTCATTTCTTAAAGATCTGTAATGATTTTCTTTCTCTTATTCTTAATGTTAATTTGTAGTATGCCCTGTTTTCCTATGAGTCTGACTAGAGGCTTATTCATCTTACTTTTTTTCTCAAAGAACTAACTCTTACTTTCCTTGTTTTGTTTTCTGTTTCATTGATGTTTGGTATTATTTTTATTGTTCCCTTTTTCCTGCTCTCTTTGGATTCTGTTCTAGTTAGTTAAGGCTGAAGTTTAGGTCATTTAGATTAAGGACTCCTTTTCCATATGTGTTTAATGCTACAGCTTTCACTTTTAAGTGCCACTTTAGTTGCATTCCAAACATTTTGACATGTTGTTTGTTTATTAATTTGCAGTTCAAAATACATTTTAATTGCCATTTGTGATTATTTAGATGTGTGTTGTTTAGTTGCCAAATGTTTGGGGATTTTCCAGGAATTATCCTGTTACTGATTTCTGATTTGATTCCATTGTGGTCAAAGAGTATATTATTATTTGAATCCTTTTAAATTCGAGACTTGTTTTGGTCTAGCTTGCTGAATATTCCATGTGTACTTAATAAGAATGTATGTTCTGCTATGTTGGTTGGAATTTATATCAATACTGATTATGTTTATTTAGTTAGTTGATCATCTTGTTGAGGTTGTTTTCTATGTCCTGACTGCTTTTCTCTACTTGTACTGTTAGATTTTGAGAAAGTTGTGTTGAAACAACACATATTTGTGAATTGTTTCTTCTTTCTATTCTATCAGTTTTGCTTCATGTATTTTGAAACTATCGTTTAAGATTATTATGACTTCCTGATGAGCTTATCTGTTTAAAATTTCTGAAATGACCTTTTTTCCCAAATAATATGCTTACTCCGAAATCTACTTTTTTGAGATTAAAGCCATTCTAATTTTCTTATGATTGTTAGCATGGTGTATCTTCTTCCAGTTTTTAACTTTACCCTTTTTATGTCTATATTTAAAGTGAGTTTGCTTGTTAACAGCTTTG